ATGATTTCTCTGTTGAATGCTCACCACAGGTGCTCTGTGTAAACTTTTGATTACCTTCTGCCAGCTGTTCAGATGTACGAAGCCACTGACTGAAGTGTTTTTAGACCATTCCCAAAGGGGGGACATTTCTCATTCTAATGCACAGCAGAACTGTAAGTGGACTGATCCAACAATGTCATGCTCATAACTGTGCCTGAACTACAACAGGGAACTGTTTCTTTTTCTTTCCTAGTCCTTTGGAGAAGGCCTAAGTCTGATTCCCTGTAAGGACTTTTCTGTTGACATCCACCCCTTGGCGCTCAGATGACCTTATACAGTTGCGGGCGCCGTAAAACCTCTACTAAAACTAACAAATAAATATTGTTCATTGCAGTTTCTTAATCTATGATATCGATTAGATTGAGCCCGAGAGAGAAACATTTGGTCAAAAGTCAATTTCTAAATGTTGGGAAAAGTTAGAAAAGGGTCATTAGTGTAGCATGTACCATAACATTATTGTTAAAAGAATGAAACATTTTTTTTTTTTATTTTTTTTTTGGGGGGGGGGTTGTCTCTCCTGAAAAATATTTACTTTCTGGGCTTAGAGCAGTTGAACAGCTTGCTGACTATATTATATTTGTATGGATTTAGCACATTGATCAACACTGTAAGGTTATTCAGGAGCTGGGACTTTTGCATTTAAAGCCAATCTCTGACAAGAACAAACCAAGTAAGTAGAGAGCTTGGAAAACTCCCCCCAAACCACCCAAGTTGAAGAATGCGGATTTGGGAATTTGAACCAAGGTCGTGTGCATCATAGCCTAAAATGATGCCAATTGAGGCTGAGTACTGTGTGATTATTTTTAAAAGATGTTGAGGGTGGGTTTTTGTATGGGTTTGTTTTTTCAGTGTAGATAAGAAAAAGAAGAGGGTCACATCAGGTATTGTAGATATTTTTGAGCATTGTGCAAATTAATTTGCTACACTCACATTTATTTCTTGGCTAATTCAGAGAGTAACTAATAGGAGACTGGACAGCTCCAGTGGAAGGTTGTACTTCTATCTCTTCTTTCCTCTGTTTCATTCTGTCTATCTCGTTTTTCCCCTGCACCACATGGCTGCTGTTGTGACGATGTGCTTCTCTGTACTCAAACGTTCTGAGAATGAAGGAATCTTGTGTACATATTTATTGCCTGTTACTACCTATCCCCTAGTCTAGATTCTAGGTGGAGGTGCTGTTGTGGAAAATGAATATTGAGATTTTATTAATGTGAATGGTAGTTGCAAAATGAAAGATCACATGCTTTATTTTTTTTATGGATTTTAAAGCTTGCTACTTAATAGTGGGGATAAACTGCTCTTCATGAAGAATAAACAATTTAGTTCCTGAATTGTCATTATATTATATGTGAAGGAAAAAAATCGCAGATTGGTCGAATCATGAAAATATTCAATGAAAAGCAACAAGCTGGAGTTTCCCATGCTCCATTTTGTCTATAGAGACATCTTTGCTACCATAAGTCGATAATGTCAGAATCCATTCACAGTTTGTGGGTGATTACATATTTGTTCTTCTACTTCTTTTCAGTATTTCTAGTCTCCCTATTTGTTTCAGCACTTGCCAGCAGGCTCTTCACTCTGCATACTCAAGACACTAGTCAGAGATTCTTACAGAGGAGAAGCTGGTTCATTGAGTGTCTTAGTAGTAGACTTTCTTCTGAAATATTGTGCGACCTCGTGAATAGTGAATGGTGTGGATTAATAAGTCAATGAAGGTGTTTACCTTCATTTTTGTTTTGGAGGTCATGTCTCTTTACAAATGTACAGTGTGTTGGAAATGGCGTAAGAACTCAAGACTACTCAATTCAAACAATAATTTTATTAAGTGTTTCTCCATGTAGCTGATATGGAGACTGTGTGGTGTTCCGGACGAATGTTCTTATGACAACTAAGAGCAGCACAGAATTTCATGATAATGTGTAACCCTTTAAATGTAGCCTTCCCGTATTGTTGTTAAATATTTCCCTTTTGTGGTTGCAGCTGTATATTATTAATATTTATGAACAAAAACGACCATTAAAGGACGTGTCATATAGTGCAAAGCAGTGTTATTTGTGTTATGTTTTGTTTTGGTGTGTGAGTTTTGTTCCTTAGTCTGTTAAGACAGCCTACATCGGCAGTGTCATTCAATAAATCACTTTTCTTTGTTTTGTTTGTTTTTGTGTGTGTAGGGGGGGTGGACTGTTTTTGTTTTTGCTGGGGTTTTTTGTTTGTCTGCTGTTGTTTTGTTTTGTTTTTGTCTTTTTTGTGTATTTTGGGGGTGGGTTCCGTGGGAGGAGGGGACAAGGAAGCAAAATTCAAAAGATCAACTATGTTCAACAACAGGATGGCAATATACATCCGATGCCAAATGTTCCACATTTTAAAAAATGAAGAAAGGCAATTGCTAAAGGCAGTTTTGATCAAAATTTAATGAGCTAATGAGCCAATCCTGGAAGGTGTAAGTGTAAGTGTTTTTACGCCCCCGTCTACATAATTAAATCATTTAGGAGGCAGGCTGGCTTTAACCCTGCTTGCTATAGCCAACCCCGACTAAGAGAGATACATCACTCAAACAGAACGACTGAGGCACTCGATAAGAAAAGTCTCCCCATTCTGTAATAAAACTCATGTTTTCTCTGTGTGGTTACAAAGTAGCCTACCTCACCACATACGCCAATGCCCTTTTTCTTCTTCTTCCTCGTTCTCGATGACAGCAGCTTGGTGAGTCAGTCCGATGTCGCGTACAAACTGTAGGCCTACAGTTCGCTTCAACTCTGAGAGACTGCCATAGAGCTTTCTCTCAAGTCGGCCACGTGTGTGTATGAAGGGTGGCGTAGCGTGGGGGAAGGATATGGTTGGCCAAGAGGATTGTTGGGGTTGTGTTTTTTTCACTTCGCCTGCGTCAACTCATCCGTAGTCGTCAATAGTTGAAGCAATTGAAAAGAGGCTTCTAATGAGGCTATTGAGAATGTCATTGAAAGAAAGAGAAATAAAAAAGAGGTCATTCTAAAAGAAGCACATCTGGGCTTCTCGCTAATAGAAACAATTAAAAGACACTTAATGCAGTCCCCGGAACATCTTAATCGACATAAAGGCCTTGAACATCTTTCTCTCACTGTTCGAAATGGGAATCAAACGAGGCAGGCGTGGACCTGTTACAACGTATTGAGATAACCTGTACAGATGGGAGACGGGGAAAGACCAAGATTTTTATTTATTTTTCGTTATAGGCCCTATCATAATTTGTTTAAACATCCACCAGAGCAAAGAAATTAATGGCGAAACTATGATCGCTGATACTGTATCATTCTGTTTCAGGTCTGGCACTCACTAATGCTTATGATGAAGTGTGTGATTATGATATTTATTTATGCTGCCTAGTCTAGATTATAATTATTAGCCTACAAAATATACCGTAGCCTATATATATATATGTAAGATAGCTCGACATGCACACACACACACACACACACACACACACACACACACACACACACACACACAGAGAGAGAGAGAGAGAGAGAGAGAGAGAGAGAGAGAGAGAGAGAGAGAGAGAGATCACAGAGAGAGAGAGAGAGAGAGAGAGAGAGAAAGAGAGAGAGAGAGACAAGAGAAGCTGCTATCTTATACGTGATATAGAATATGTTTGTATTTTGCGTGTGTGTGTATGTTGATGGAGAGCGAGATAGCCCTAGAGAGGGGTAGCCAGAGATCGAGAGAGAGAGAGAGAGAGAGAGAGAGAGAGAGAGAGAGAGAGAGGCAGGCAGGCAGACAGACAGACAGACAGACAGACAGACAGACAGACACACTGACAGACACACTGACAGACAGACAGACAGACAGACACACTGACAGACAGACAGAGACAGACGAGCTTCATTAATACAACTGTATTCGTATATTACGTAGAACACTGTTTTAAGACCAATCAAAATGATATTCATCAAAATGTTGTTCCTGTGTTAAGGGGTGTAAATGCAATTATGGATATGAAAAAAAATCACAACTTTTGAACCGATAAATAGGCCTATACGGATCTTAGATGGCCCAGAGAAAACCAAACTGTAGTTGTGGGTTTTTTAAAATTGGATGTTAATGTTCCTATTAATGGAGATGTTTTAAACCCCGTCATCGAGATCATAGCAGGTAGCCCTACCTCTCAAGTCAGCTCAGGCTGGGAGAAAGATCAAGATCGATTCTCTGTATGCTTCCGCAGAAGCTGAGAATGTTTTTGAGTGTTCTTTGAGGGTCTACTGGGGTAATAATAGTTGTAAAGCGCATAGAGCATGCTCTTGAGCATGGATATGCGCTTTATTATTATTATTATCATTATTATGCTCGATATAAAGCTAATCACTACACCATAGATAACATAAAGGCTATTTAAAATTAAGAAGAAGAAGAAGAAGAAGAAGAAGAAGAAGAAGAAGAAGAAGAAGAAGAAAAAGAAGAATTGATGATGATGTTGACGATAAAAGAAATCATTATCAAAGAAGGGGGAGGAAGGAGCTATAAAGGGCTTCCACAGCTTCCACGAACATTTCAAATTACATTATAATTATTATAGGCCAAGTCCTACTATAATAATCATGGTCTGTTTAAAGCAGTGCATTCATTCAGCTGACTGGCCTGCAGCTCTGGCTTGAAAGGTAAACAACTCCCACCTCGCGGATCGCTTAACCTGGCTTCTTTCGTCACTGCGCTAGATTCTTGCAGCCAATCAGAAGCGGCCTTCAGAAAATGGCGTCTCAGCGACCTGAAAGCGTGCATAACGACCGATCTGTTGTTCCAGTGTTAGGAAAGCGTCACGGCTGTTGCTTATCGTGTAGAAGAGGAACCCACTCTCTGTATGTTATTTCGGTGGGCATTTAGGTAAGTAGATTTTCCTCACGTTAAAATGAGAATCTATAATGCGGTTAAATCTGGTTTAGATGTTCCAATACTTGGTTTAATTTGTGCCGATGCCGAGCTTTTTGACACATCAATCAACTCGCCGGAAATTAATCGAGTACTTGGCCGCGCTGGTCCTACTTCCATTGCCATGTTTGCCTGACCTGATCGCAAGAGCTGATCGCCGAAGCGTGTTCGATCATGTTGTACGAGTGGTAACAGTTCGATCTTGTTTATTCCGATAGCCTGTTTTCTCCCATCCACGAAACTGCTCGGACTCCTGTTTAGTTTTGTTTATTTCTGCTTGCGATAGTCGATAAGTGTTAGCGTAGGTTTTGAGCTGCAGTTTCGTGCTATTGAATTAATTGCGTCGCTCTTCTTATTGCAGAAGATTCACATTGTGCTCCTTGCTTCTGTCACTATACGTTGATCACTGCTTCTGTTTGAATTACAATCCTGCTGCTTGTATTTGTATTGTGTTCCAATTCGAAGGCAGATTCAGATCGATATAAGTAGGCCTGCATCTTAGTCTTATTCTTAGTGGTGATAGACTGTGATTATTGGTAAGTTGACCTTTTAATCTTACTTTTGAAATGAATGCTTGATTGTTTTGACTCAAGATCTAGTGACTCGAAGTCTGGTGTGTTTTTGCCTTCAGTTTAATGACTTAATGAGTTAAGACAGTCGATGTGTTATATTTATGTGGTAGCATATTTTTTCTTATAAGCCTTATTATTGAGCAAAGTGCAAGTTTGCAAGAGTAGCCTGTCATGTTACTGAACCTGTTTCACATCAAGATTGTTCTTTTGGAAGAGGTCAAGGTTTGCCATTACCTGCTGAGGCTTGATATTCTTGTAAGATGGATAACTTAAGCTCAGAAATGTTTAAGCAGCTGTCACTGAGCGCTCCATGAGTTGTTGTTTTTTGTGCTTCGGTCATTCTAAAAGTAAAAGCATACATTGCAAATCAATTTTAGCTTTTTTGTAATAGGCTACAGCAGTAAAGTTATATTTTTCTTGTTAGATCGTAGTCACACTTGGGCTTTTTATATAAACTGTTTTATTTATATATAGAATTGTATGTTTACTCATTTGTGACAGTTAAGTGAAGTAAGATTTAAAACTTTGACAATTATTTATTTAGGTTCCATCCTACCACTTTTATAATACCAGTATGCTAGATTTACCCCCATCACCACCATCATCATCATCATCATCATCATCATCATCATCATCATCATCATCATCATCATCATCAATCATCAAGTAGCTTTCTCACCCTATATCAGGTTATAAGCCATGAACAAACCTTACCTTTCACTATCCTGGGTTAGCCTCTCTTGATCATATGATATGCCGTCCCCGGTTTCTGTAGCCCTACATCATTCTCTGTTACTCTTCTCTGAGGCCTTCCCCTTGATCTCTTACCCTGTGGATTGCAATCTAAAACTTTGTCCTTGTAATGCAGCTGCATGGCTTTATGAGATTTGATACCTGTGTCCAATAAATCGCCACTCCCTTCTTCCCTTTTCATCTTTGATTAGCCTCTGTCTTGTAAATCTACTGACATAGGTTTCCTTTTTTTAAGAAAAAAATTATATGTATAGTTGATTCTTTGACCTTTGCATATACATGTATATATGGAGATTAGAGGGTGGTCATAAGGGATACATGATGTACTTGGAATCAGTAAAGCTCAGTGAAACAAAACCTGTACTACTACTGGTATATAAAATTCCAGCTTAATAATACGAGTCAGTCTTCAATATCTAAACACTTGCTATCCCCCCCCCCCTCTTCATTGATTAGCCAGGTTACTAAAGATAATTTTTTAATTAGCATTTTTAAAACACCAAACAGATTGTCTCCAAATTTGGAGCTCTGCAAGGTGAAGGGATCAATTATTGTCCTCATTCTGTTCATGTTGTACACAAATAACTACTGAAACAGACCATCAGTTGCTTTGAATGGAGGGTCACTCAAGTATGTCTGATTTTATCTTCCCTTATCTAACTAGGAACACAACAGAGTGAGATGGTTCAGCATCTGTGATCGCTGTCATGGCCTCCACACGTCCGTACACATTCCAGCCTCAACCCCCACCACTTCCCCGAACAACCGGCGGGAAGAGGGGGCCGTCGGGTCCCATCAATATTGCCTCCTCATCCAGTGAAGATGAAGACAGTGACCAGAGCATTACAGATTTTAGTCCCCCTGTCCCCAGCAGGCTCTCAGTCACTGATCTGGCATCAGGCCCCAGTACAAAGTCCAATGCCGTCATAACAGTTTCCAGCCTGTCAAGTCCAAGAAATAATTTTGTTACCAAGAAGTCCACAGGGCTGTTGCCGAGCCCGCGGAGTTTAAGTAACGCATCTCATGTGATCAGTGGGAGTTTCAACCACAGTTCTGGGAGTAGCAGTTGCAGCTCCGGGTCCAACAGTCTATTTGGAAGCAACACAATAAGTTCTGGTAACGGGATTAATGTGGCGAACCACGGCGCCATTGGACAAAGTGTAACCACCACAACTACAACCCCTCTGATCAACAATGCAAACTCTTCGACATCCTCATCCCTCCCACCAGCTGTGCCCGGTCCTCTCACCATTCAAGCCCACAGCACTCTCAACAATAAGACCAGCGCTTTTACGACACAAAATTCTTTGACATCTAACGCTACAAATAGTACTGCGTCAAGCAGTATAACCTGCGGAAATAACGCCGGTGGAAGTAGTAGTAGTAGTAGTGACAATGGTAACGCCACCAACAGCGCCAATACAGGTAGCTTAGTAGCAGCAACAACCTCCTCCTCCGCCTCCTCCCCCTCCTCAAGGACATGTTCTGTTCCAGAAGCTGCTAGCACCAGCCCTAGAGAGAGATCATGCAGCCCTGCGTCAAACTTCGCTTACGAGCATGATCATGATTATGAAAATGTTGCGTCTCCGTGCAGTAGTACAGCTAGTGGACCCACGTACGTGAGACCCCCAGGATTTAACCACCATGCGCAGGAGATTACCGTATCCTCGAAGAACAAGTTGAAGAAGAAAAAGTCGTCAGCAGCTTTTATTTCAGTCAGGGATGGGTTTAAGAAGCGAGAGGCAACTCCACCAAAAATAAAACCGAAAAGAGGTAAGTTTGTTTCTCATATTGCAATTTATTCTTTTTCTTTGAGTTGATAATTACAATTTCTACACTGTTAAGTTGCCATTCCATTTTTAACAAATTTGTAACATGCATGACTGTCTTTTTCTCTTCTTGAACTAAATTTGTCACATTAAATGTTCTATTTTGGAGCTATAGCTTGATAATACAGTCATGTATAATATTCTGATGATTTTTACTATTTTGTCTGTGCTTCTGCTGAAAAAAAATGAGAATAAAGACATAGCCTTTGAGAAGAAAAACTCGAAAGCAGAGATGGAAAAAAGGGAAAAAACGATCTTGCATATAAACACAGAAACGCACACAATCACACCCTGAAACACACACTGTGAAACAATGGATTTCATACATATTTCATTAGGGAATATGATCACGCCTTGCTAGAATGCTGAATTCAAGGGAAGAGAGGGGAAAAGAGGGGATGGTAGGGGGATTATAAAGTGTAAAAATACGTAAGTGTACTTAACAGAAGTAGGCATACCGATCTTTGGTTATAAAACCAGGGGGAACAAGATTAGCTTTTTAAATAAAAGACTAGACGCCTCCTGGGGGAAGGGAGTTGGGTTAGGTGCAGGGGCTTG